ATTTGGTGTAATAAAGAGTTTTCCCAGCTGCTGTACCAACGTAATCACCATTAGAATCATCCAACTCTTTCCGAATCATCTGTAATGTCCTCAGATTGATACCCAAACATTCTGAAATGTTCGTATTGGAGCTTCCGGTACGAATGCCAAAGTACAGCATACCTTTTTCAAATTTCTTTCGGAGGGAATTGAGTCATCCTGCTCTTTTTCTCACAGACGGCACTCAGCTGTCCCTACTATAAGCAGTAAACAAAATAAAGATAAATGCATCGCGCATGCGTGAAATAAAAAATATACAATGGAGACAATTTACCCATTGCACACTGTAGATGATAAATAGAAAAAATAACATTAATATTAGAAAAATTTAGTTGACAGTACCAGAATGTTATACTGGAAACAGTGCAAAATTAGTTGCAAATTCTGTAGGCTGTTGTAATAAAAGAGCAGCAGGCAACAATGAATAAGGTGTTTTTCCCCGGAGATCGTTTATGTAACTGTGTTTAAAAACACACACACACACTCAAAGACACACAGAAAAATTTCAGTTTGACCGTTTATATGACGTCACGTTGAGGGAGTTGAAATTGATTCTATCAAACATTTGAAATTGATTCCATCAAATATGAGAACGTCGGAATTAAAAACCAGAACAATCCTTGAAAAGGAATGAAGTGTCCTTCGAAAAGACTCGGGTAAAATAACATAAAATAAAAGTTAATAGGAATTTTAGCAAACGATAAAACGAAACAACTTATTCGAAAATCTGAAAGATTTAATAAAAAGAACTGATAAATAAAAATTATCCATATTATTTAACAAAAACGTTTTTGAGAAAATTCTTGCAGCCAAAATACACCTAATATATACATATATATATATTTTAAGACATTTTTATGTTTATACATTCTTTTTATAGATACAAATATTGAAGTAAATGCTCTTTATAATAAACAGTATTAAACAACATTCAGAGGCCTGTCAGAGGACGAATATTTTCTATGAAAATTTCTCGGAGATTCAGGCCGGTAAATGTTGTTTAATACTGTTTATTACAAAACAGAGCATTTACTTAAATATTTGTATCTATGAAAATAATTTCGTAATATGTGACGTCATTTGTTTACATTTGGATACGCCATGAGCAGATATGAATGAACGTGAGAGAATTATGGTAGATTTTAGTTTAAAAACAGTAAAATCGACCTTGCTAACACGAACGCTCCTCTGTGGCCCAATCGGTTAAATGCACGTCAGGCTATATGAAGTTTCTTTATAGGATACAGGTTCGATTCCTGTCGGAGGACGAATATTTTCTATGACAATTTCTCGGACATTCAGGTAAATGTTGCTTAATACTGTTTATTATAAACAGAGCATTTACTTAAATATTTGTATCTATAAAAAGAATGTATAAACATAAAAAAATGTCTTAAAATAATTGTCGGACTTTGTCCATTTCATAATGTGTGGCATACATATATATATTTATAATACGTATAAAATTTTTCATTTATACTTATTGTCTGTTTCTGAGGAGTTTTCACAAAGAAAACTGTTGTTTAAGCAGGTCATTTTTGTTGGTAACTTTTCTATAAACGCCAAAATTGAGTTCGTTGTATTTTCTGTGTCACATGATATCTAGGAAGGAAAGTTGGTTTCATTTTCAAAGGCCAGTTTCTACCCAAACTGACCTTCTAAAATCAAATCAGGAATTATTATAGGTTTCTATTTGAGAGCATTAAGAACTGGCAACTCCCAATATTTACTAAATAAGAAACATAAATAGAAAACATATTCAAAAGCCTAAATATATATATATTCATCCAGAACTCAAAAGGAAAGTCATACAAATTATACAACTGCAACAAAAGTAACCACATCATCCATAATAATAAATTATATGAGAACACTTACATAATACTAACGACGAACTCCGTCTCGTCCATTATCCAGGACAAACTATCGTATCTAAAATATATCAAAATAATCACAAATATCCCCAAACTATTATGGATATAATCAGATCCTCAAACAGCCATAGCAATAATGTTTCTAAAGCAGGCTTATATAAAATAAATTGCCAAAACTGTTCCTCACAATACATTGGACAAACATGCAGAAATTTTAAAAATCGCATCTATGAGCACAAAAGAGACCTCTTAAATAACTATTTAACAAATGCACTAGTCATATATAGAAATAAATTCAAGCACAATTTGATGCTGCACTCAAAAAAGAAAATGATTCACTCAGAAGGAAAATCTTTGAGAGTCCCGTCATTAAATATAAGTCAAATAATAATCTACGCTCAGGCTGTATTCTAATATCACCTTTCCTAACAGAATCACTACTGTCCTAAGCCAATGGACACAACAAATATATCATGACATCAAAAGAAACTATTGAATCCGTCAACACAATAATACAAACAATATTTCTACACATGAAAATATTTTGTTCAAACATAAAGTAATTGATGTTTTCAGTATAAATGAATATACAATAGCGTTTCTAAAGTCTTCTAGCTGCTAACGACATTTTGTTTGTTGCTTATAGATACTTTGTTTCAATAAATTCATTTCATTTTTCCTTGAAAATTTCCACGTTGGGCGAAAAGGCTTAAATAAATAAGTGCATTTTCTCTATAGCAGACGTTTATTTATCTCTGTTTAAAACACACACACACACACACAAATAAAAATTTCAGTTTGGCTGGATATATATATATATATATATATATATATATATATATATATATATATATATATATATAGGGGAAGAGGTTACAGTTTTTCCAACGTGATATATATATATATATATATATATATATATATATATATATATATATATATATATTATATTATATTATCTTTTATTTTCATAATTTTGCTACACGGGTTTCTGGTCTCTCAAACTTCTTCAGTCAGAAAGTGGATATTTCCACATATTATTAAAAGGAAGTAATTTTTATTATGATTTTTTGATGTCTAACCATTTTTTTTTCAGCAAAAATTTTCGAAAATAAAATATAATATATATAAATCCACATGATGACCAAAAGCGTTTGCGGTTTTTTTCTTCTATTTTAATATATATATATATATATATATATATATATATATATATATATATGTCTGCTTATTTTTATCATAATTTTTTTCATATTCACAAATATTTTTCCGAATATTACAATTAAATAAGGCAAGAAATGCGCTTGCATAGTGAGAATCACTTTTATTTTCCATCTCTTTCTGATACAAATATTATAAAACGAAAAACCTAAAAATTAAACCATACCATCACTCGACGTTGAAAATCTGTTCACTAACGTTCCTGTTAAAGAAACCATTGATATTATTAATCAATATATATATAACACTTAATCTCTCCCCCCATAAAAATATTAAATCTAAAATACTAAGAAATTTAATTTTAACTTGTACCACGAATGTCCCACGCTATGATCACAGAAATGACGTATATGTGCAACGTGATGGTGTTTCAATAGCTTCAGTTCTGGGGACCAACCTTCAGCAACTTCTACATGGCAAACCCAGAAGATAATATATTTAACACCACCAAGAAACCCTCCATTTATACCTGAGATAGGTAGATGATATTCTTATTTTAGTTAAAAACATCAAAGAAATACTTGAACTCCAAAAGAACTTTCAAAAGATAAGAACTTAAAGATAACAAAATCCTTTCCTTGACATTTTAACAGACTCAAATAATAACACATTTACTACCTCACCCCCCCATATAAAAAATAAACAACCACGAAAACCTGTTACACTCTCAACTATAAGAGTGAGTGTTCTCATTACTACAACAGAAGCACTTACGAGCTGTATAACTCGTCTTCAACTGTGGCTTTCATTACTGGGAATTTTTGCCGTTCAATTGGAGCAAGTTAAAATTAGCCCACCCGAAAATCAATATTAGTAACAACAATCGGGTACAACTGCGACTCATCCGTAAATGTTGGGAGGCGGGTAACAATTTGAAAAAGGCTGTTTTTGCGTTCTTGTTTCAGCCTCATGCGCAGCAGCAGTTGAAAAGGCGTTTTTCCTCAGCCGTTGAGGCCTTTGATCATCATTTTCAACCTCGCGCACAGAAGCGTTCAGCTGTGGTTTTCTGGAAAGCTGATGGCCAGGTTGATCTTCAGACTTAATGGTTCTGATTGAAGGATTCCGAAAAGCTTTGTAGACAGACGAACTGAAATTTCTAAGGAGATTCGTTATCTCTTATTCGCATGGCGAGTCTGGTGGCAGTGGTTTTACGACCTATGCAAGTTCATTTCTTTGGTGGCATGTCTTAGAAAAGTATGAATTGTCAAATCGAATGTGTGGGCAAATACCAGAAGAGAACGTTGTAAAGCCACAGGGATCACTAAGTGTTAACCATGTTCATCATAGTCTATAAATATAGAATACAGCGCAGTACGTAATCTGTTCAATGAAACAACGTTAAAGATTAATACTCACGAGTCAGACACTCTACTGAATCCGCCTATATCACCAATACCTCCAGCAGCTGTTCTGTAATCCTTCAGTCTTTTATATCAAAGGCTGCCAGTGAGTATTCGGAAAAAAACATGGCCACCTTTATACACGTCGCATTGAATATTTTGAGCCTTCTGATTGGTTAACGCTTCTATTGGTGAACTATAAAATGACTCAGCTCATTTTGACTGGCTCAATATTACTAGCTACCCCAAAATTCCAAGACTAAGCTCGAATAACTTGGTTGAAAAAGTAAGTGTTGAGTAATAAAAAAAGCAAGTTTACTTATTTCTACGGTGAATGCAATTCAAAAACTGGCAAGATAATAAAAAAAATGAAATTGGGAACGGCTATAAACGAAAATGAAAGCAACGCCTTAAAACTGTAGTAGTAGCAAAGGAAAAGTTAACCTCACTTGAGATAGATTGAATGCTTAACGTAATTGCGTAATTAGGAGTTAGCAGTGAGCTTAGGACTGCGTAGACAATCAGTATGGCACGGCAACATTTGATTGAAAGTGTAAAGGGGCTTCGTGCAGACAATGGGCAACTCGAACAGGTGTCGCGTTCCACAGGGCATGCTTATGCGCGTGCATCAGCGCGTGTTGCAGGGCCGTACGTACACGTGGTGCTGCGCGCACTAAATATTAAGGTCAGTAGCAACAGATGGGCAACGGGTGAAGGTGTGAATCACGTCTACATGAGCTAGGATTGGAATGTTATGCGTGTAATTGTAAATTAAATTTTGCCTTTGATTTTTCTACAAAGTGTAAAGAAAATCATTTTTTTTTATTTTCACCTCCCGGGGTGGATATTTTCCAGCTAATTTGAACTCAAAATCGCTACTGAAGAATTATCTATAAAACAAAAAATAAATTCATCGGAGTCGGATGAAAACTGGAAAAGCATAAACAACATCCGATCACACACACACACACACGCATTTTGAGAATTATAGATATAAATACAGAATTTAATTAACCGAGCACAAATTAATTCCTCCACAAAAAAAAATTCTACAGTGAATTAAAACATATTAAGCAGACTCTCGTTAATAATGGTTTCCCAAACCAGATTGTAGATGGAGAAATAAGATGATTTATCAAAAATGTCAACACCTATCAAACAGAACTTCCTGAAAGGACCCTAAATATATAAAATACTTTTATTGCAACCAGATGCATGGTAACGACAAACAGGATGAGAAAATCATTAAAAAAAACTCATTAGTACCAATATATTTACCTCGGATCTCGATAAAAATTAAAATTAATCATATATAGAATAAAACAGAAATAATTAATCAGAATAGAATAAAACAAATTTAATGATTTAAAATAACTCTTCCTCACCAAATGATGTATTACGTAAAACCAATATTGTATATATATTCAAATGTTCCTTGAGAGAATATATCTTCGAGAGAAAAACAAATATATATGTTAGATATATGACAACTATATTATCAAGACGTCTTACGCTTCACATCTCTGACTTGTCGTCCATTGCGATATTTACACCAACATTAGTGTTCACATTGACATTATAAAAAATACTTATTGATAACACAACTATCCTACACCAAGAAAATAACAAATTAAAACTACAGATCCTTGAAGAAATCTTCATTAAAAAATTGAATCCGACACTGATTAGAATCAGCTACGAATATTGTAATAATTTTCTAAAATGCCTATAAAAGAACAGTTTTTAAGCTTTAATGCACGCTCGACGATGACATTCTCACATAAAAGAAAAAATTGCATAATGGATAACTATTCACGTTCTATGAACGCTAAAGCGTAACTGTCAGCCATAGCATTTAATCCCAAAATTCAATAATGTATAACTACATATAGTTTTTGCCTTGCCAGTTGCACCCCTGATGATGATCTCAGAAAGAGATGGAAAATATTTTGGAAATAAATTCATCCTCTCGTCTACTTTTCCTTAAAGAACTCAACAATGCAAAACAGACACTAGTTAACAATGGTTTTCCTAACCACCTCATCGACCACCAAATTAGTCTATTTTTTACAAAGTAAATAATAAGGATAGTGAACAGACAAAAATAACATAAATATTTTCTACAAAAGCACGTCAACTACAAAATGAATTTTCACTTAAAAATATCATACAGAAATACACTGCCCCAGTTAACTCGAACAAAAAAATTAAGATAATTCTCTACGACAAAAAAAAGCTAAAACAGCTAGCCTGATACTGAAAAATAGCAACAGACCCGAAAAATCAAAACTACAAAGAACGAACATTGTGTTCGAATTCAAATGCCATTTAAAAACTGTTCAAATCAACCTCATAAATAATTACATCGGTCCCACTACTACATGACAATGTTACCCCTATCCGAACATCTATCCCCTCAGCTCGCTCACAACCCATTTAAACACACACACAAACTTATCCGAAACATACACTCAATTATATTAAATACGAACACGGAAAACAATAACTCTATAACTCTACAAACATACACACAACTCATGTATTCGCATATAAAGTAAAAATAAAATCATCCTTGATAATGGCTAAAAGTATAGCGGAAAGCGTTTGGAATTACAGAACATTTGGACAGTTTCTACACACTCTGTGTCCAGAAAAAACACTTGTTCGAACACAAGAATAATTAAATAAAAAGCTTAATCATAGTACCGTGTCTGTTGAGGGTTTGCTGCCTAAATAAACAATATATATATATATATATATATATATATATACACAAATGAGAAAAAGAACAGATGGAGTAAAATTCTACTGTTGGTAGCGTTTACTTTTTTTTTAAAGTGCTCAATACAAATTAGAGCAATATATTACCATTATTTTTATTATAAGAGATTATAATAAAAATCATCTTGAAATCGCTATACAAAACCTTTCATGTTTCAATACTTTGATTGTACTTCTTCAGGTGATCGTAAGTAACTGAGAGCGGGATGCCAGTCTCGTAGGACGCCTGAATTCGCGAAGTCTAGGAACCAGCGAAAGCAGATCATCGGAGCATTTACCATGAAAGTATTTGTAAAAAAGACAGTGAGAGGCAACGGCGCGTCTGTGAGAAATTGTCTGTAGACGAGATGCCCGATCGGGGCCAATTATATTGCATATCCGTCTCTGGATCTTATCAAGAAACCCGAGGCAAAGAGAAGGGGCTCCAGACCATATATGGCAGCAATACTCCATGCAAGGGCGAATAGTTGATTTGTAGATATGAAGGATCGATTCCGGGGAGAAAAATTTCCTGGCGCGGCACAGGGAGCCAACTTTCCTTGTGGTGGACGAAGCAATTGACTCAATGTATTTGTTCCTACTCGAGGTCAGTAGACAAGGTGAGAACGAGCAGCCGCAGAGAGATGATCTCGGGAAGTTGAGCGTCAGACATTCTAATGGGGGGGGGCAGGGAAGGATCTTTGTGGTGAATAATAGAGAGCAGTTTTGTTTTGGAGGCGTTAAAGTTAACCAGCCAATTAATATATATATATATATATATATATATATATATATATATATATATATATATATATATATATTACAATAAATATGCACTTTAAACTCTCACTGTTACTCTTTGGTTGTTGTCTTCTAACTCTCTTATACAATATAATCATATACAGTGTAACCCGGATATAAGAGACCCGAATATAAGAGACACCCGGATAGAAGAGAGAATTTCTCTGGTCCCAAATTAGAGCCTGTGTTAATGTATATGAAATAGACCAAAACCGGATATAAGAGAAACCCGGATATAAGAGATTTCTTCTCCGGTCCCGACAACTGTCTTATATCCGGGTTACACTGTACTACTTAAATTTGAAAGAGATCAGATTGAGCGGGACCAAGTCATATTTTACAAAATTGTATTCTTTTTGTTCTGACTCGTGATAATTTTGACGTAATTTACAAAAGTGTTTTGCATCGTTGTCTTGTTGAAAGGTGCTTTAAAAAAAAAAATCAATGTCCTCGGTGAGAGAGAGACAGAGAAATAAAGTTTGTGAGTGTGGGTGCGTGCTTGAGAGATTAGTCAGTTCTTCCCTTGAAATAATCATAATATTTTCGGCAATGTTCTCATTCACTTTATCGTTTGTACATCGTTTGATGTACGCTTGCCTCCCAATAATGTACGCTTGCCTCCCAATAATGTACACTTGCCTCCCAATAATGTACGCTTGCCTCCCAATAATGTACGCTTGCCTCCCAATAATGTACGCTTGCCTCCCAATAATGTACACTTGCCTCCCAATAATGTACGCTGCCTACTGAAAGATATTGATTATTTCCAATGTAACACAAAATAAAACAGTAATAAAGAGAATTCATAACGTCCACGTTACGATATAATACTGGAGAAACCCTTGAACTCTTTTTTATCGTTGAGATAAAAAAAACAAGTTGAACTTTGAAAATACGTTTTAATCTCTGATTTTTCTGCTACTTTTCTATTTATCGTGAAAATATTACGTGAACTGAAATTACTCATATACTCGACATTCCGGTTACAAAATTTCATGTTCTTAGGTTTATACTCCCGAATTAGGTTTTATTCTTTGAATTTCAACCTGGTTTATAAGATTCTATGTTTCTGTTTTATTTTTTACTTTGCTAAAAAAGATTCTAATATTATTAATTTATCTCGGAAAAGAGAAAACTTCTCAATGGACGATGTAATTTAACAAGGCTTTCAAAATAAACGATTTTAATATTAATAAAATTGTAACTGATCGATATGACTTTAATCGACTTCTTTTAATTTTGTTCTGTTTGTTAGAGGATCGGTTGCCAAAGCCAACGTTTCTTGAAAAGGAATTCTAGTGAATAGGTTCGTTACTTCAAAAGATACACGAATTTCTTTTTTTTAATCTTTCATCAATCTCTCTTTCTCTCTTACACTTTCCCTCTCTTTTACTCTCTCTCTCTCTCTCTCCTTTACTATTTATTTCTATCCCTCTTTTATTCTTTCTCTCTCCCTCTTTTACTCTTCCTCTCTCTCTTCCTCTTTCTCTCTTCCTTTTACACTTTCTCTTTCTTTTACACTTTCTCGCTCTCCATCTTTTACTCTTTCTCTCTCTCCTTTACTCTTTCAATCTCTCTTTTTCTCTTTCTTTCTCCCTTGTAGTTTTTCTCTCTTTTACTTTTCCACTCTTTTACTCTTTCTCTCTTTCTTTTACTCGTTCTCTCTCTTTTACTCTTTCTCTCTCTTTCTTTTAATCTTTATCTCTCATTTACTTTTTCTCTCCCTCTCTTTTGCTCTCCTCTCTCTCTTTTACTCTTTCTATCTCTATTTCCCTTTCAACTAATTCATTAATCTAATTCAGTATGTTCAAATTCCTCATCCTATAATTATTTTTCTTGAATTTACTAGTTATAAAGACCCGTAAACCTATATATAGTTATTAAGCCCTAAACATTGGAAGGATCTTTGAAAATATCTATCTGCCATTCGATATCACAAATTATGGCTATCGCTGTAGAGGAGGGGGGATACGTAGAATGTTCCGGTTCAGAGAATGAAAGAAAGGAAAAAGCCGTAAATGAAGATGGCACGCGCGGAAAAAAGAGTAACGAGGTAACATTAGAGGAGTGCCTAAAACACCATCGCTGCCACTGAGATTGTGTGTCTCACGGTGACTTAAGACCTCACCCGACTAGCAGCAGCATTTGCTGAAGTTTTTGCAACTCTTTGGTGTCACTTTACTGTGACATTCTTTGAAGTATAGTCCTGAGTATGACGATAAACGACACCCGGCAGCAACTCGTGAGATTGGAGATTTTGGGACATGTGAACCATCTCTGAATTGTCATTGTTCCCAGGCCTACCCTGATCTGGGTTGTTAGCACCTGTTAGGGTCCCAGCTATGGGAAAATAGTAAACACCCAAACGAAAACAAAACATTATGAAAGTATAACAATACATATTTATAGTAAAATTACCAACAATACCTATGTATAGCAAAATGACCAGCAATACATTTTATAGAACAATTACCAAAGATAAATTTTATCTATAACTGAAGGCATAGAATTGCGTTCAAAATATATCTAGTTGAAGCCATAAAATTGTATCTGTCTATAGTTCTGAGTTTAGGTATTATAATTATTTACACTATTTACTGTTGCTCTCATCTTTCTTGCCATATTCATGACCTTTCGACACATGGCCAAGTGAATAAAAGCGTTAGTTGAATCCAGCGACTTGACCAAAGTGTTGCGAGTTCAGTACCTGGCTACAGCAGAGGTGAAAAAAAATACTTGGAGAGGTGAGTCAAAAGGGAGGTAACTGATACTAAGATATCCAAAAGACGCATGGCACGTGGAACTAGAACAATCTACTCCGGTGTACGTAATAAAGTGCTCGGTTCTGATATAATGAAATATGCATACACCTGTGTTCCCCCTCACTGGAATATGATTGACTGGTGTCCGTCATAAATACCGACGGACGTGGAGGTACGAGAATCAAAAGAGTCTTACTCTGAGAGCTAAGTCTATAACGATGACCATTGGACTACGCCATTGATCTACACTTCTTACCTGCGACTACGACGCGTGCCAGTCGATTACTGCTACCGTATTCTACTTGGTTATAGTAGCCAAAATCACTTAGCTACTTCGTTCAAATATATCCCTTTCCGGGACATACCAGGTTCAAAATTACAATCACAAGAAAAATTGCGTTCGAAATATTTAGATTTCGGCATTAAATGCCACTAAACAAAATCAACCAACCAAACGTGTGGAATAGAAAAATATACGGACATTGTCGTCGCGTAATCTTCAGGTAAGTCGTCATGGAGATCATTACGACTAAATTCGTGTAGAGTAGCTAATTTTTGGCAGGTGTGTCGAAGGTTTTCTCGGGCATGTGTATATTGTCTTTGTGTTCTGGTCATGTCGATGCGAATGTGTTCCACACACACACTTCACATTTCCCAGTAATGGGCACCGAGGCGTGTGAAGAACGCGGACCAGGAAAGATAGCATCCAAGCAACTGCATATTCACTCTTGCACGAGTTGTGAAAAGGTGAGGAAATCAGCCGAGTTCGCAAAATCTCTCCTGGTATAATCGAGCGGAGGAATGGAGGACAATTTACTTGTCAAGCATAATCGAAAAAATTACATCTTCTTGATTGAGTCCGAAAAACGATAAGTAGAAATGAAATCTGGAAATCTTCCTCGCAAAATGTCAAAAAAATAAGCCAAGCGAAGGATTAACGCATTTTACAACACAAATATAAAAACACATGCCCACTAAACACTCAATACGAGCAATGCTGTAGCAAGAAACCCCGAACTATCCCATTTCATAATGAACATAAAAACGGGGCTGAAATGCTAGGTGTGGGGTGGGGTATAGAACTTAGAAGCATTAACATAAAAAAGTAAGTCTAAGTGGTTCAAACACACACCTTAATAGCAACTTCAACTATTTTCAAATGCCAAAAGGAGCACTACTTAAATACACAGGTCCTCTCATAAAAATTAGGGAAAATATTCTGGAAGATAATTTTTGGTGCTTAACATCTTTTTTGGATATTCCTAAGACTGTGATACTTGTCAAAATCGAAAAAAAAATATTTATTTGTAATCGGTTTAGACCGGTGTTCCTGTTTATCATATCGATACAGTGTTAAACCAATACTTATCTTAGCCTTAGAGTACGTTAGCTGTTATTTACACGTGTCAAGTTTGAAAACGTGCCAACATCATTGATATTGTAAGTTATCCACTTGACGTTCATAAAAAAAAACGCCGCTAAGGGAAGCTCTTTAAGCCTATAAATAGGAAATGACATTCTTTTTACTCTTTTACATCTTTGGCTATAAGATGTAATTGCACGTAGAAAAAATGACACCCACACACACTGGGTAACGTTCATATTCAATGCCTTACTTTTCCCTCGTGACATTTTGTACGCTTCCACAAACGTGTCTCTCACATAGGTCTACATAGATCTCACACACACAAACACACATTCTCTACTCAGAATGTTTTCAATGTAATTAGTCTTTTTTTTTCTTTTATTGCAATTGTAATACTTTTGTTAATACATACATTGTTATTTGCTTTATATTGTTTTGTGTTATTCATTTATTACTCGGACTCACACCCGAGTCCGCATTAATTGTTACAGGGAGAATAATAACAGGAGACACGTGTTTTCTACATAAACACTACAAGCAACAATATCTTTTTAAATTTTTGAATTCTAACCTTTTTTTCTATTGGTTTTTAAAAAAAACTTTTTAAAAATTTTATTTCGTATGGTATTTTTTCGGATTACATGCACAGACATTTAAGCTTTATAATTATCTATCTTAAATTAAGAATAAACGAATATATATTTTTATCAATTTATATAAATTTCTGTTCTTTATTTAAAAATGTACAATTCTGTTTTTTTTTATTATTTCAGAAATATCATTTTGCAACCCCCACCTCCGTAAAGATAGCAAGAATGCTAAGTCCAATAACTAATATGGCGTCAGTATTAAAAACAAGATCACCATCTTCTAATTTTTTTTTCGCAATCTAATATTAATATTAGCCGTTTCCTCATAAACACACGTTCGGTAGCCATTGACAGAACAGCCAGTGCAGTTGTCGGTTGAAATTTATCAATTTTTTCACTTAAAACAACTTTTCTAGAACAGTTTTTTTAATCTAAGTCTGAAATGAACAAAATGGCAGCGACAATGCAGTATCAATTTCAATGTCTACATTTTTTTATCCACAAATAATCTATCATCGATAGTGAGCACTTGCCTCCCATATATACGAAGGTGTACGGCAAAGTTCATAGGCTGACTATGAAGGAGTGATATTATAGCTGTGAAATCTTGCAAAAATTAATTTAAACACTTCTTCTTCATAACTGAATTCTTTAATTTCCAGGTAAACCGACATCTGACTGTTCAAAGAAGAAGTAACAGGTACCGACTTGTCTTGAAAATGCACATTATATAGCATTATGGTGTTATCATGTGCCTGCCGAAAAAGGGGTCTAACCCCCAAACACTTTCATGATGACCTAGTTGCTACATTAGAGGGTGACTCTCCAGATTTATCAACAGAGCAAACGTGACCAGCTGAATTTAGAAGGGTAACGGACAGTCTTGAATATGACCCAAGGTTTAGACGCCCTCCGACAGCCACCACCGAGGAAAACGTTGATCGTGTTCACCTCATAGCGATGGATGACAGGCAATTGACTATAAATCAAATGGCCAATACTGCTACATACTGAAGTTTTCTTATTGGTTGGTTACACGTCTTCTGGCATCTGATCACATTACTGGAAAAACTGACATTGTTTGAGGCATATTCAGTTGGTTTCCTTGTGACGATGAGTGAGTTCATCACATCGAGCCGGAGACAATTTATGCAGTGGAAACATCCTTGCTCACCTGCTCCCAAAACGACCAAGGTTGTTGCATCTGCGAGGAAAGTGTTGACCTCAGTTTTAGGGATGCAAAAATATTTGTGTCTGTTGACTATCTTCAGAGGGGCCACACCATCAATGGAGAGAATTATGTCAATTTGTTGAGGCGGTTATGAAAGGCTATGAAGACCAGACGACCAGGTAGACTGACGAAAGAGGTTTTGCTTCCTCATGACAATGCTCCAGCGCGGGTCCTTGGTTTCAACTGCGACTCTGAAATGGTTGATCACCCTTCCTATTCTACTAATCTCACTATCATCTGTTCTTCAACGCGATAAACCATTGTGTAGGAATCAGTATTGATGTGATGATGACGTCATATCTGCTATAGGAGGCACGGTGGAGGAATGAATAGCGGCTGATTTCGAATTCTAGTCGAATCCATTACATACACTTACGTGGTAATACCCTTGGGAAAGGTATAAATCCTCTACTACTTCTCCCCCTAGCTATGAGTAAACAGCGGGACAGACTGGAATCTCTAGCCTTGGGTGGCAGCCGGTCTAGGAGAAAGTAACCCTGAAATCAAAACTGTAGGTAGCCCTGGCGTAGCACATACCATACAGATAATGAAAGGATCGTTAGCATTGGCTCGATAATCCTGACTACGGTCGACAAATGATGAAGGATGATATTTGCTATTGATGTTTTTTTTTTTTTTTATCAACAGGGCAAACAGTCTTCTTTGAATAGTCAGATGCCAGTTTACCATAAAAGAAACAATGCAGTTATTAATAAAACGAGTTGAAATTAATGAAAGATTTCACA